TGTGTGTGTGTGTATATATATATATATATATATATATTGCAGTACATATTTATTTTCAGATTAAAACTAATATTGAAAACAAATGTAAAAAAAAAACTTTACAGAAATTTAAAATTATATAAATGTTAAATTAGTATGTTAAAATTATAAAATAACATTTTATTGGTTTATTGATTGTGGAATAAGATTTTACAAAAAAAATGTACAATGTCCATTTTAAACAAAACAGATGTATCAGCACTCATTGACCCCAAACCTTTTTTCAATAATCACTTCTTTTCTGGCTGATTCTATGCAGAGCTGGTATAATATTTAGGAATAATATTATAAAATTTGTACATATTTTTTGGATTTACGTATAATTATTCTAATAACATTTCAAAATTATATTATGGAGGCAGAAATCTAAATGTATATATATATTTGTTGCTTCTGGATGTATATATGATTATTATAATTACATTTTAAAATACAGAATTATGGATTATGGATAATAATAACGGATATTTTCCAACTAAAATGAATATAGAAAAAAATCTAAATTTTATTATACATTTTTTTTATGAAACACATATGCAATATATTCAAAAAAATATAAAACATATAAAATATTTTCTATAAATTCAGTTTATTTACTGCCAATTTTGCCACATAAACACTGCATGTATTGTATGAATTTTAACAAACCCAGGCTGTAAAATGTAGAAAAGCAAAACAAAGAGAGTCAAATAAAATACACAATGATAAAAGGTAAAAAGTGCAGGTTACACAATACAGACAGACACATGATGCAATAAAATCTATGGATGTGCCCAGTATTGCTAAGACGGTCATGCAGTACAACAGTACGGAGAGACCAGAATAGCTGAAGGAGCAAAGGAGAACTAATCATTATTCATTATAACCCATAAAATGAATGTGGAGCCGTACTCGTGATTGAACAGGAAGGGAGAGGTGGTCGGATGGCAACAGAAAGATAGGTTCAGCACCCGTCTCGTTGTCGAGGTCAGAGCAAAGGACATACCAGTGGGGGTTATATATATATATTCTGTTTTCACTTTAATTTAAGTTAAAGGTATAGTAATGTTTTTAGTTTTTGTCATTTCTAATCATTTTTCATTTTTTAAAAATGTCTATACAGTTTTCATTAATTTATTTAGTTTTAGTTATTTAGTTATTTTGACTTCAAGTTATATTAAAGAAAAACAGGAAATGTTTCCTTGGCAACTAGTTGAAATAATTATAATAATTCATCATTTATAGCAAAGGACATACCAGTGGGGGTCAACTGAAGTAGCCCATAAAAAAGATAAGGAACAATGAGAGGAACTATAGAATTCTGACAAATTATTATGACACCCATCCCATAACAAGAACAGCATGATGAAGCAGACGACAATAGCCGAGCACCACGACACACTTTCAGCGTGAGGGGGGCATGAAGGTTAACAAGATATTGTTCTAATGCAATTATTGCATATACAACTAGGGAAATTATACCACAAAAGATTTCTAGCCAAAGAAAACCAAGTTTGTCCCCCTTATGCAAGTACTATCACATGCTTTATTTTATGTAATACAAACTATGCAATGAGATCCAACTTTCTGTAACAACACTAATTCCTTTTGTTCAAATAAATGCATTAAATAGTTTCACAAATGTGTTATATGTTCAAAAATGCTTTTAAAAAAGGTTTTATGCAGACTGTTGGGCAAATATGTCTGAGACTCAACACTTTATCAACTACCAACCGCCTGTCAACTGACATCCAGATTTGACTGCAAACAGACTCCATTCAAACTGAATCACTCTTGTTTAAAAAGTCTATATTGTCTGGTTTATCATAGCCTTTCTTTTCTTGGAGTGCTTGAGCTTCGTCTTGCTTTTGAGGGGAGTTCAACACTCCATATCCTCTTCCATTCAGTGCATTGTTCCTTTCACCGCTGATTAAAATCTTGTTTAAACAGCCACCAGACGCAACACGCCATCAGCGTGTCCACAAATTCTCCTGAGCTGATGAACACAATAGCTGCATTCCTTCACAAAAAAACTCCACATATCTACAGAGACCTGGAGATTCTTGGAATATGAGATCAAAACAACCGTATTTTTCACTTATAATTAAAAATACACCCAAAATGGATACACTTCACATTTTGGACTATACCCAATGGTGAAGACATCCCCTCTGGTTGGCTTTTGCTTTGTCTTTAGCAATACAGCCACAGTGACAAAAAGAGCTTACGAAATTAATGTCTAATGCTGATATAAAATGTTTGTGTAATTTGGGAACAATCTGTTAAAGAATGTATGCGATAATTAGTCATAAAGTTCATGCACTTTAGCCATGCTTCCCTCAATCAGAGAAAGCATTCATTTGAAGTGTTGGACTGACTTTTCTGTTACATCAAAATGCATGATTTTTATAATAAATTATTCTATATTTGATCAATTTAAATTCAAAATGACTTCTCTTGTTCATATTGCTTTGTCAATATCTCTGTCAGTCAGAAGCAGTGTACTTTTAGTATTATTGTTTTAATAATTTTTGTTAATATTTTAAATTAAATTTTATTTGTATATTTTGTTTTTATTTAAAGTTTAAGTTTAAGTATTGTTTTGTTTGTTTTTGACATTTTTATTATTATTTTCAAAATATGCATGTATAGGTTTAGTTAAGTTAGTACTTCAGTTTAAACGAATGAAAATGTCTGGATTATATATTTTATTATAGTTCATGTTTATTTTATCTTTAAGTTTTGTTATATTTTATTTTATTTCAGTTAACATATTTTTTTTCCAAGTAAAATGTATTTTTGGTGGTTTTAGTTTTAGTTAACATAATAACCCTGATTGAGACAAATAAAAACTAGCAGTACCACCTCTACCAACAGTTTGCAGTGTGACAGTAGCCAGTCCAGTCTGAGCCAACGCAGGTGCGTGGCATTCTGCACGAACCAACAAACAGCATGCAGGAAGAGGATCATTCATGCGTCCTAATACTGGGCTATTACCAAAACAACTGTTCCATTTATATTGTATCGGTCTTTGTTTTATGGGTTGGACATTTTGTGAGATTGCAACCTCAGGCACCCGTGACATTGTCTCGAGGTACAAACGGCAATGGTTTTGTTGGCTGAGCCAGAGCTGGAGTGATCTCCACCACGTTCACACTAAAACTCAGAGGCTCACCCATTTTTCATTGCAGTTTAACAACGTAAGTTACTCTTCAGACAATAGAAAATACTTGACAATGGCAATAAAGTATATTCAACTGGTTTATTCCAAATTGACACTCTGGGCTTCCCGTTAACTACTAAGTAGTCTTAAAAGTAGGAATACTTCACCGAGACATGAAAATTTGTTTAAAATGTTTACCTATTTAGATGAGTTTGTTTATTCGTCAGAACAGATTTGAAGAAATGGATCATCCGCGGTGAATGGATGCCATCAGAATGAGAGTTCAAACAGCTGATAAATGCACCACAATAATCCACAAGTAATTCATACGACTCATTGCGACTTGAATATGACTATTTCTGGCCAAAATACGAGTCCATAATCCATAATAACGCTTCCTCCAGTAAAAAAAGTCCCCTTTTGTCTTCTCACATCAACATCCACCAACATATTTGTTTAGAATTCTGGAATGTTTTCGCTTGTAAATAGTGCTTGATCTGTGCATATTTCTCTCCTGATTCAGACGAGAAAACTATTTCACTGGAGAAAGCAATATTATGGTTAGAAGACTCGTATTTTAGCCGGAAACAATTTTTCAAGCTTTTCAATTCAGAACTAAATTAATTAATTTAATTAATTTATCGACTGGAGCCGTGTGGATTACTGTCATGTTTTTAACTCTCATTCTGACGGCACCCATTCACTGCAGAGGATTGGTGAGCAAGTGCATAATACTAAATTTCTTCAAATCTGTTCCGATGAAGAACCAAACTGAGCATTTCTTCAGCAAATTTTCATTTTTGGGTAAACTATTCCTTTAATGAAATAAAAGGACAGTGCACGCTTACCAGAGTCATATTGCGTTTTGATCAGCGAGGCAAAGAAAACATATATGATTACGCTTCACAAGGCAGCTTCGGTTCCTCAAAGCCAAAGAAGACACTAAAGTCAGGGAGAAACCGACCCCCTTTCGGAAATGACCACCTCTAATAATCAGTAATAGTTGCGGTTTGAGGTTTCACCTTCACCCTGTAAACAATAGCACTTTGATCGTCATGCAGATGTCGCACAGAGCAATACATTGTACACTTTCTATACACCATGACTCCTCATGTCATAGACATGAAGACAGAGTCTGTTTGAAGAGTTACAGCCATGATTAGGAGGAGGGACTGAGTGCAGGTCTATGTGTTAAAGATGAGAGTGTTCATGTCATTGTTTGTTTTGTAAAAAGCCTTTAGCAGTAGGACCTGGAAGACGTAACATTGAGGTTTTTCAAGAATACATGGAGTCTGTATCCTAAAAGTAGGATGTTTTTTGCAGTTTGACTATCTAAAAAAAAAAAAAAAAAAAA